CATTCTTACCTCTAATTCTGGCAAGACTGAGGTTTGACACACATTAAAGAAAACAAAACAGAAACATTCAAACTGGGTGGTAATGCTGGTAATTAGATTAGTTGAATTAGAAGACTGGGCCAATACTTTCTGTGACTATTCCTCAGAGGCCTCAGAGTATGAGCCAGTGCTTTTCTCTCTCAGAATCGCTAATGGATATTTTACCTCAACTCCTTTGTAGGGAACTACCGTAGGACCACTAAGGAAGCACACAGGTTTCTGTAGGAATAATACCAAATGGAAAGTGGTGCCAAGTGCATCCACGGGGAAATGTTATACAGCAGGTCTTTGAATTTCATTTGATGTTGTTTCATTATTATAATGTTGATGAGATGCCATAGAACTTAACCCTGGTTAAATATAAATGTAAGTGTAAATAAAAAAATATATAAAAATAAATATAAGCTAATTAGCCTATATTATAATTGGTTTCATTATATTTCATTTCTCTTAAAGTCACAGAACCTATTAACAATGTTAAGTGAGGACTTACTGTAGTATATCTTGCCCACATTTAGTTTCTAATTCCATAAAGCTTATAGTGACTGTTCTTAGAGATTCTCTCTGCATCTAAGACCAATGCAGAATAATGTATCAGATTCTTTCAACTAATAAACCAGAACAGTTTCTTGAATGAAGCAGAATGAGGAACAGGAGAATGCATGCTAGATATAGGAATTCCCCAAAATGTTTTCAAAGCACACAATTTATTTCAGCCTGGGTCTCGAATTTACCAATTCTGGGACAGCAGAGGTGTTATATCACACATCTTATGAAATTTTTATATCTTCTATTTTATATGTAGTTTTAGAACGTGCATGGTTATTTTCATTGTTGGTCTTCAAAAGTGTTCATGTACCTAGTTATGTTTAGAATGCTTTTAATTATACTAGCTATTATATCTTTTATTCAATCAATTAGTTAAATCATTAATTTGGTGCTCGTGGCACTTTAAAATCCCTTAGAAAGTTTACAGTTTTAAACCAGATCTTCAGTGGTAGGAGCGTGCTAGCCAGTCAAGGATATTGCTTCAATAGCATTGATTCAATTAGCATTCTAGAATGACACGTTTTAAATATAGAGGAATATAAAGGATATATTGTCTCAGTAGTCCTAGCTACAGCTGCTGTAATTAATCTAGAAAATGTAAGACAGAAGCTACCAAGAAAGAAGGTAAGAAATTTGAGAGTATGGAGTTAAGGAAAACCCAGACAAGTTTTCTCTTTCAAAGCAAGGACTATATATCTTTTTGTATGTATATATTTGGGTGAATAAAACTAAATTATATGTACTTCAGGAATTTGAAAGGTATTCATTATGTCACCACTTTGACTGTGGCTTTATCAGATTTCCTAATCCTTCACATTCTTCTAGTGAAATAAAGAACATTACATCTTATATTCTTCTATTGAATGTTTGAGTTAATATTTACAAAGAACTATTTAAATTTAAAATGGTCTCTGAAAGATAAGAAATATTGTCCATAGTTACCGTTATTAAGGCTAAGGAAAAATAAAATACATTTGTGAACTTCACAACATTTAATCATCCATTTCCTGATCATAATCTTGGAAGAGCTGAAAAACAGACAAACCTCCTATCATCTCACACATGAAATATTTAGTTTACCATGTTGTGTTCTCTTTGCAAATCATTGGCTATATTTAATTAAAAAGAAAATACAAAACTGCTTGATGTTCTAGTCAAAACTGGTTTCCTCTCTTGCAGGCAGACAAGTCAGAACTGGCTAATATTTAATATTATTTGTTTACCTCAGTTTTATCTTTAATAAATCCAAGAACCTTAAAGAGCTAAAATATAACTATTTAAACAAATTAATGAAAATATAGAACTTTGAATTTATTATAATGTCTTTCCCAAGGAAATTATGGCAAGAATGAATAATGAATGAAATACAATTACAGAACTTTGAGAAATATATTTTTCAGCAGTATGGTCCAGAAGTTCATACCACAACTATGAATGAATTGTTCATTACTTTAAAAGGACAGATATTGGGCTAGGATTAGATTATGAAAGTTGCACGATTTAACTATAAGAAATTACAGGTTTAACTTTGAAAATTTTACTAGAAAGAGTTGATTGCCTGTATCGTTGTTGATAGGTATGTGTGGGTGTAGTTATAGCTAAATTAGAACTTGAATGCAGAATATAAACATGGAGTTCAGTTGAAAATAGAAATAAATAGAATTGTCAACAAGAAGTGGAGTTCCCAGTTTAAAAATAAGATACATATAAACAAAATATTTTTTACTTTTACCACAAAAAAGTAGAGGAAAAAGAACCTGTTTATTTAAAGCAAGACCATAGTAACAAAAGGAATACCCTAGTTCAATTCAAAATAAGAGAATTTAATTTTGGTTTTTCCATGTCGGAAGATCCAGGAAAAGGATAGCTAGACAAATGTACTCAAAGAGTGGAGCAAGGAAAAAGTTTGAGATTAATACATGGATTCTGCTTGCCACAGAAAAATTTGCAGTTACAATAGAATTAACTATTTGGTGAAGGCTCTTCTACCATGTAAATACTATTTAAACTGTATTTATAGTATGTGCTGTATTCCATATTCTAGGAAATCTGCCCTTGGTTGATGAGTTTAATGCAATGGCCTAATTAAATTAATTTCCACTGGAGAGTTGTTTATTCTGCTATCTAAAGCTAGAGCCAACAATCCGAAAAGTTTTGAATGCCTCTGGGAATTAGAGCTTACCTATCTGTAGATAAACAAGTTTCTTTTGGCTGTATTATATTAAAACTGTTCTGTTAAATGAATATAAGATGGCCCCTTTGTATTTAGTATAAATGTAGAATAAATAAATTATTTGACTTTTCCCCACTTTGTTGGTAAGTAGATAGTGGTTTGATTCATTTTACATGGCATCAGTTACTCTCTATGACTGCAGTACAACAGATGTTATATTAAATTATTTAAGATCTTAATAAGCCAAGTCAATTAGCTGTCCGTAATAATTGTCTTATTTTTCTCACTGTAATGTATTAGAGTTTAAAAAAATAAATCAGAGCCTCTACTGAAAAGATAATGTTAATATATTATCTTTTTAGTATAATATATCATACTAAACATAGAGTTGCGTGTAGTGCCAGATGGGCTCTAGAATAATTGGGAAGATCACTTCATGGATTGTATAAATGTCTAACTTTTTAAAATTTAAAATAAAACTAAAAAAAGAATTACCTTTTTCCATTGGGGTTTTCTGAGAATTGATGAGAAAAAGCTGTGAAGTTTTTTTGGTGACTTATTAAAATATTTTTTATATATACAAACTTATGACCAATTACATTTTAAGTAATATCACATTAATTTAAAAAATATTAAACTCCATCCTCATATTCTGAGAAGCTCTTCCTAATAATCTAAACCTTTATTGATCCACAGCCATTTATAGCAGGGGTCAGCAACTATATCCCACAGGCCAGATCCAGTCCAGTGCCTGATTTTGTATGGCCAGCCAGCCGAGACTGATTTTTACATATGAGCATTTGGAGTCTATTTGATGATAGAAAATGCTGACTTTGAACTCCATCTAAGCAAAATGTTGACCCAAAATAAAGAATTCCATTTTCTTGTTAGCAGACCATATTACAAAATAAATTCAGTTATTATGCAAAATAAATTCTATTCAAATATTATTACATTTTTAGTTTTGTAATAAAAATTTTGTGGAAATTTGTTTTCTCTTGTGTAAACATATGCACATAATATCCTTGATTTTTACCTCTTGGCATGCAAAGCCTAAAATATTTACTGTCTGGCTTTTTACATAAAATATGGTCCCCTGAGTGTATTTTTTATCATTCATTCATTTTTGATTCACTCATGCATCAGTTCAGCAAATAGTTTCTGAGCAAATCTCACATGCCAGACACTGTTCCTAGGCACACCATGAGGAAAAAGATTTTATAAAAATACTGCCCTCGTGAAACTTACATTCAAATTATATACATTATCTCCTCACAATTACCTTATTCTGTTATTCCCATTCTAGAGATAGGCAAAGTGAGGTTCAGAGAATTTATGCAGCTTACTATATATAGTCTCTCAGCTGAATTAAACACAGTTATGCCTGATTCTAAGACTTGAGCTTTTAGCTAGTAAACAGGGCTGGCATCATGGACTGGCTTCATGGGCAGGATTCCTTGCTTGGTTTAATGCTCTCCTGTCACCATCTTGAAATTCTTAATCCTTTTTGAACAAGTTCTGAATGATAAATATATTTTTATTTTGACGTTGGCCCCACAAATTACATAGCTGGTCCTTCCTACTAAGATAAAAGTGCTTCTCTCTCAGACCACATTTCAGCCAGGTTTTTTTTTT